TTATAGTTAGTAACCGAGATTCTACTGTAAGAAAGATCTGTTCCTTCTCTCCCATTTATTTAGGTATTCAATTATTTATTTATATAAGTAAAGACCCAGGAATATTTGTGGACTATAACTCATTACTATCCTTATTTACAACGTTGCTCATATTGTCCCAAAACTGGTACCTTTTCGACATGTCAATTCTTTCGCAGTTCCTGACTTTCTGACACCAAAAGATGTCCACCTTGTACTTCCCTTCCCCAGCCCTGGAGTCACCCATTTCTCCACAGAGACCTGGTTCCTTTCATGGGACAATGATACTCACAAACCTTGGGCACTAGGTATTGCCCATTGCTCCTAGGTGCTATTGCGTCTAGGCCCTCTGGTGGACAGAGCTAGGAAACAGATGTATGTACCTACACTTGTGTACTATTTTTAGCCTCATTTTACAAATTATGTAAATGAGGCACAGAAAAGTTAAGCAACTTGCCCAAAATCACAACACTAATATGTAGTGGAACTGAGAAGTCAGAATAATAATAGAGCTACCCCAAAACCTAACAAGTGGAAGTAACTTCTTTACAGCAGAGAGCAATAAGCCTAACACTCCAGCATAGACGCTCACTTTGGGAAATAATTAGAAGTCTGTAGTAAAATCCAAATAATAACCATCATATACTGAAAACCGTACTTGGGCACTGCATCCACAGTGGCTCATTTATTCCTAACAACTCTGCAAGGTGGATACCAATACTCTCTGTTTACAAACCAGACAACCAAAGGTCACAGAAGCTAAGTGACTTCTGCAAGATTGCGTACATAATTGACAAAACAAGCAGTTGACCCCAGGTCTGTATGGATGTAAAATCCATGCTTGTTCCACTGTACCACTATTTTCCAAAACTGATCTTATGTAGAACCTAAATAAGCTTCAACTTTAATAGTCATATGTTTTAATGCATCTTAGAAAAAAATCTAAGTATCAAATATGTAATCTCACAGAAAATATTGCACAAATGAAGATGTTATGTAAATTAAATTTATTTAAAGAAATAAAGTATGACATAAATAACAATAGAGGTGGTATAAGCTATAGCAAAAATCATAAAAGTGTTCCAAAAATGTCTGATGTTTGTTTTGAGGGACATAATATTTAGTAACATGCAGTTTCATATTCAGTTACACCATGAAATTAGGGTCATGCAGGGCTGCAAAAAGAACAACAGACTAAGAGTCTTGGACCTGAATTTTAGTTCCAGATGAGTCATCTTTACCTTGGTGAACTTGGGCTTTTCACTTGCTCTCTCTGGGTCTCACTTTCCTCACTTGAAAAAAAAAGAGATAGTGATTTATAATTAGTACAACCCTTTTAAAAGCAACTTGGTAATTGTATAAAGAAACATAAAATTGTTCTTAACTTTTGTCCCAGTAATTCCACTTGAGAAATCTTCCTCAAGGCACAAATGCAACATTTGAAAACAGTTACAAGCACAAAGAAATGTATCGATATCCAAAAATAATATAATCTAAATATTCAGCAATGAGAGAACAGTTAAATAATCTGAAGTGCATATACTTGGGAGTATATAATTCTGTCATGAGTGTTGTGAGACAACACAAGAACAAGCTTATAAAGTGAACAAAAAGAAATTTGTTCACATGGTATGGTTATCATTACATTGAAAATTTATATACAGGAAATGTACTAAAATTCCAACAGTTGTTAACAGTAAAGATTTTTTATTTGTACTTTATAAGTTTTCTCTAATAAAGTTACATTGCGTTAAAAAGAAAAAAGAAAAACATCTCAATGAACTGGTACCACTAATAATCTCCAAGATGTCGTCTGGCTCTAATATTCCGTGCCTTTTCTCTGGAACCAGAAATGGAGATCAGGTGAAAAATATTAGAAAAGCGTAGATGGCAGGGGCTATGCCTGTTGAAATTACTTTAACACCACTCAAAACAGCACATGAGAACAATCTGGAAACCAGCACTTGGAGAAATGACGCAACACCCTCCATCTGTGTGGCAGAAAGGGCACGAGTCTGGGAAATTGGGGAGTTGGATGGAGCCAGAAGCTGCTCTAAGGGCCCTCTCTAGACAGCTTGTCTGTCTGCTTATCACAGAAACATAAATGTGCCTATGATGTGTCAGGAGCCGTGTAGCTGAATGACTTCTGAGCCACTGGTTCAGAGTCCAGGGAAGGAGGTGGATTTTTAGTTTGCTAGCACTGCCGCGACAAAATACCACAGATCGGGTGGCTTAAACAACAGTAACTTAATTTCTCACAATTTTGGAAGCTGGTCATTCCTCTGTGCGTGTAACATGCCTGGTGTCTCTCTGTGTGCCCAAATTTCTTCTTATAAAGATTCAAGTCAGACTGGATTAGAGCCCACCATAAGGGCCTCATTTTAACTTAATGCTCTCTTTAAAGGCCCTATCTCCAAAAACAGTCATTCTGACTTATTAAGAGTCACGGCTTCATTGAGTTTTAAGGGGACACAGTTCAGTCCACAACATACTTCAAACAACAAACTGTAAGTGTAATTGGGCAATGAGAGAGCTGCATTCGAATGCCATGGGGAAACAGGTGAAGACATAATCAATTCTGACAGGAAAAATCTGAAACCCCTATTCAGAGGAAGCATTATCTGGGCCCAGTTCTAGCCCCAGAATCTCTATAAAACATCATACTTGATTGTCATACAAATATTTTAGGTATGACAAAGTGGGAATAAGATAGCATCAGGTGATAAGACAGCCTTGAATAGAGGCCTAAAGGGGCAAGGATTTGTTCCAGAGGAACAAAGATAAATATTGTCTTCTTATGGTTAAACTGCAACTATGGATTCAAATACAACCAAACATGGAGGTCAGGTGAAGTTCCTGACTGCCTTATGGAATAATCTACTCCTTGCTCTCATTCCTAAGTCTTGAGGATTTTCATGTGTGTAGAGGGGATCTTAATGGAGGGAGGTTGTAAGGTCTTGATTAACCCTTACCTTTTGTCCTCTCTTCTATCCAGAAGCTGTTCCTTCTTCCCCTACCTCCAGCCTAACTTTTCTCTAGGCCAGACTGTAAACCTCAATTCCTTATCCATTTAAAATACTTCTCTCCTGAAGTGCCCTAGGATCCCTGAGTGAAAAAGGAAAAGAAATGGAGCTGCGCTGACCTAGGCAGCACAATGATGGGGGATGGTTTCTTTTGGCCCCTTCCCTTTCCAGTGCCTGGAAGTGACCTGTTTCCTTCCGACAGGGGTCGCCAGAGGCCACAGGGACCAACGCCAAGGTTGTTCTGGAGGAGGCTCCAGGAAGGCGCCCAAGAATGTGACTGCAAAGGTCAGTAATTCAACATCAACAACAGCGATGCATCATCAAGATCCCAACTCACTCCCTCGAGTCCGTCTGAGACCAATGCAGATGTTACCTGAGCTTTCCCCTCTCCACCAGCCCACCACATGCAGCACCAACACTTATTTTCTTCCTGAGCCTCAGGCAAGAGCTGAGGCAAGGGCTCCAAGGTCCAGGGGAGAGCTGCCTGAATCTCTGGCTGCCCAAACCCCCTTTCCCTTTTTACCCCAACAATCCAGGGCTGCTTTCTAAGATCTTCCTGAATCCTATTCTCAATTTTACTTTACTCACAGGTTAGACTGAAATCAGAGAGGCAAAATGACTTACTTTAAGTAAAGCAGCCACTAAAAGGCAGACACCTAGGTCTTCCTCCTCACTTTTGGGTCTCTCTAATGATACCCTCATGCCTCTTCCAGATCTGCCACCAAATTCTTGCCCATACAGGTCAGGCAAAACAACCTAGAAACCCTGGTGCTCATAGAACTGGATATGGTGACTGTTTTTGTTGACCCTTTGCCACACCCACTGCAGTATGAGAAAGAGGCGAGGAAGATGCCAAGTGAAGCCCCGCCCTCAAACATATTAACCCTCCTAAGCAGCAACCCCTTTATTTCAGATTGGTTCCTGAGAGCCTCTGAAAGAAAACTCACAACAGTGCCCTGGCTGCCAGTGCCCCTGTGATCATTTCAAGGGCAGGGTAAAGAAAACCAGTAAGTTGGAAAAGAATGACCTTCCTTAAACTTGGTCACTCTGTGGAATCAACTAGGGATGAAGCAGGTGTTGAAAAGAGACAAGAGAGATGAAGTGGAGACCAGGATAAGCACACACCTTAGCCTTTTCTACTCAATGTCACCTTGTAAGGAAATAGAAAGAGCAAAATATAATTCTCTTAAGACTAGAGAGGTTTAGCAAAATTCTTTAATGATAGAATGCCATTGCTTATCAAAGTGGACAGAGACAGGGTTGTGGAGACCTGGTCATTGATCTCTGACAATTACACCAGTGTTGATGTCAAATAGAACTTGATTCATCCCTAGTCTAACTGTTTAAATGTCATAGAAAAAGTAACCTGGCAAATGTTAAACTGATTGATACTATGATATTATCAAGAATAAAATAAATCACTGTTGATGGAAGTAAAATACAATTTAGTAGTAATTATCAAAAACTTAAATGTGTGTTCCTTTTAACTAGTAATCTGGATGCTTTAAGATCTCTACTATAGAATACTAGCATGGATACTCAAAGATATATGTACAAGAATACTAATTATAGTAGTATTTGTATTGACAAAGAAATGAAAATTTTAAATGTTCATCATTAACAGACTGACTGTGTGATCATTTCACAATGTATAAAATACCAAATTGTTACGTTATGCACCTGAAACTAATATAATGTTATATGTCAATTATACTTCAGTTTAAAAATTTCATCATAAGCATATTGGGCAATTCTGCTGTTGTCAAAAATAATTAGATAGATAATTATGATTACTGATTGGAAAGATATCCACAATATACTAAGTGAAAAAAAGGTGCAGAGGCCCACACCCATTTCAAACACACCACAAAAATAAATTTCAGTGGATTAAAGCGACAAATTTGAAAGACAAATTTATAAGGGAATGCAGAAGAATATTCATACCTTGAGGTAGGAAAGAATTTCTTAAACAAGGTACAAAAAGTATGTCATAATGGAAAAAATTAATAAATCTGACATCATTGAAATTAAGAAATTTGGCCACCAAGAAGATAAAATGACAATCTACAGAGGAGGGGTAATGTCTGCAACATATATAATCGACAAAGGGTTAATATTCAAACTATATAAGGAACTCCTATAGATCAATGAGAGGAAGGCAGGAAACACAACAAATGGGCAAAAGACTTGAACAGGCACTTCAGAGACAAGAAATCCAAATAGCTAATCAACATGTGAAATGGCACACAACCTTACTAGTAACTGGGAAAACATGAATTAAACCCAAACAGAGATCACTGTACATGATCAGATTGACAACAACTTTAATTAATGTGTGACAGTACCAAGTGTTGGCAGAGAGCAGAATAAAGAAACTCTCATCTTCTGCTAATGGAAGCATAAAGTAGTAAATCACTTGGAAAAAGTGCTGGTGGTTTTCTACTAAAGTTTAAGCTCTGTGACCAAGCAATTCCACTCTCAGATGTATACTCAAAAGGAATCCATGCTTATGTACACTGGGAGACATGTACAAGGGTTTCATAGCATTGTTCATAAGTACCCCAAACTGAAAAGTAGCCAATGAATAAGTAGGAGTATATTTGAATATTATATATCCATTGAGAATGAACAATAACAAAATAACATAAATGAATCTTACAAACATAATGTTGAGTAAAAGGGAAAAAAGAGAACAGTTATGGCATGATTTCATTTACATAAAGTTCAAAAAAATTAAACTATTTAGGAATGTATATACAGGTGGTAAAACTATAAAAAAAAAGTAAATGCTTACTATAAAAGTGGGGGACTATCACTGTGATGGGGAGAGAGAGGGCAGTGATCAGAAAGAGGAGGGTTGCTGGCAATATTCTATTTCTAGACCTGGGTATTAGTTCCATGAATATTCTCTTTGTACCTATTTATTGAACTGCACACGTAAGTTTTATGAACTTCTGTAGACGTATAATATTGTGCAATAATTAAAGACTTTGTAAAAGTACAGAGAAAAACAACATTTATAGTATGAGCTCATTTTTGTTTTTAAACTATTATGTTTACATACAAAAAGGTATGGAGAATATACTATTATGTACAAAATAAATAAGCACGTAAGTTTTTCACTGTATGAGTCTTTTAACACTTTTAAAGCTCTTATAAAAATTAAATTTTAAAAATGTTTTTAACAGTAGTCTCTCCCTTTTGTTTTCAACCTAGGACACCAGTGACACCACAAAAAGCCAAGCAAGCACTCCAGAGCCTGCCAGCAATCTCTCAGACAATGGATGTCAGCTGGCAAGCTTTGCTCTGCCTTTATAGGAGCTCTGAGAGCCCACCTTCCCAATGAAATATTCTCAGTCAACAAGGGAGTAAGCACACCTTGAAGATGCCCTTCTCCCACCTCAAGCTCCTCATCCCTGTACCTACTCCCTAAAGCATTCTAGTGTTCTCCCAAAAAGCATTATTGCTAAAATTATTGCTCCCTCTAGTGCCTTCTCCTGACAGTCTTTTCCTGTGCCCTCTACTTACCCAGGCTTAAGCTTAACTTACATGAAAGAAACCAGGAAGCCCAGGTTTCCTAGCTGGCACCACCTGACCTTAAATACAACCAGGCAAGTAGCAAACATAAGTCAATTAATATATTTAAATGTAATAGATCAAAATCATTTCTTTCAATGGGGTCTGGAAATTCATGTTCAATCCAGTCAACTGCTTTTACCTGGTAAATTCCAAACTCAATCTAGATTCTATACACACCTCTCCCCATCACCAACCTCACTCTCTCTCCCCACTGCCCAACTTTTTATTTTTTTGTACATTCAACAAAACTTTCTGAGGTAAGAGCTAGGTGGGGTAAAGAAAGAAGTTAAGGCAGTAAATCAGACAATGTCTTATTAAAGATAATATAGATTTTTTTAAAACGTGACAGTTTCCTAGTATGTAAAATGCTTCCAGTATTTATGATTAACATCATCATCATCATCATTATTTGTCATCTGACTCAGTGAGTTTCCATTCTACTATACAACACATATATGCAGAAACATAGTTCCAGGCTAGAGAGATGGTATGGAAGATCTCAAATGCACTGAAAAGGGCTTCAAGCTGAAAAAAATGGGATGATGTGTTTTTTTTAACAAGAGAGTAAAATGATCAGAATGATAATATAAGGAAATTAAAGTGACAAACATTTGAAAGAATGAATAAAGAGGAAAACATAATGGTGTAGATCCTGCCTCCTCCTCTGACCTTTTCCTCAAACATCAGGACAGAAAAGAACAGGAACGCTCATCCAGAATCTGGCTTCTGTCACCCAGGTGAAATAGAGGGCTAAGTTGATTTGCTGACCTTATGAGAAGAAGCATTTTAAATGAGTGGTGAGTTGGGTGGGGGTCCTATTTATGACACAACAGGGCATGCCCCTCCCTTCTGATAGGAGAGTGTGCTGGGCACATAGCCTCCTCCTATTCCCAATCCCTCCTCCCAAGGCAGGAAGCACAGAAGCATATCACTTAACACAAGAGTAGGGGGCCACTTGCCAACTGCCTTAAAAAGGAACACCAGGAATGCCAGGATGAAGCAGTGGAACTCAAAGGGAGGTGTCATCATGAGCAATCAGTGAGAGATCTATGACAAAGGAGGACTATAGGGGCCCAGAAGGATGAACCCTGGGAGATCAGCATCTTCCTTGAGGGAAATAACATCAATGGAGCCAGGTTCTAGGTCAGTATCTAGGCCCAGCTGGGAGCCTGAGCCACATCAGACACCTATCACCCAGCCAAAGTCTGGGTCAGAAAAGACACCCACAGCCCAGACAGCATCTGAGGCTCAGCAGGGACCCAATACACAAGAGGAGCCTGCTTCACAGCAAGGACCCATCACTCAGCAGGAGCCCCTTGCCCAACATGAAGCTGAAGCCCAGCAGGAACCTCAAGACCAACAAAAAAGTGCTTTGCAGCAGGAATTTCTTGCCCCACAGGAACCTGCAGCAGAGCAATCACCTCCCACACAAAGAGTGCCTTTCACAAAACAGGAAGCTGCCTCACAGCACCGACCTAGGCAAGGAAAAGAACCTAGAACTCAACAGGAGCCAGAATTGAGAAAGGGACCTGGAACCCAACCAGGACATGGGCTCAAAAATGAACTACCTGGCCAAACTGAACCTATGTCACAACAGAGATGGCAACAATCAGACCCTACAGCCCAGCACATAGCTCCAGCCCAGGGAGTCAAATCCCCAAAGGGATCTTTGGCCCAGTGGCATTTTCTATCAAAACCAAAAGAACCATTCATACAGCAAATGGCCTCAGAGCAGAAGACACTTCTTGAATGGGTCACAGATTCAGGCACAGAATCAGATTTGAGGTCTTCCTTAGAGACTGATTCATCAGCCAAGAGGGATGGAACAGTAGCCCAGGGAATGAAGCTGGCCTTCAGGGGGAAACCTGGTTACGAGGTGATGTCAGGA